TCACTCCCCAGAGCATTAACTGTCACGTGTGTGACTCACCATAACGGTGATTCGGTGAGAGATCACTGTCACATAACCGGTAAGTATAGAGGTATGCCGCCTAACGAAAAGTGTAACCTTAAGCTTAGAATCAACCCTAAAACAATAAACATTCCCGTTGTCTTTCACAACTTGAGAGTGGTACGACTCACACTTGATTATGCAGGCCATCGCTTGAAAATCGATGGTAATATAACGTCATCCCCAACAACATGGAGAAATATCTCTTTCAGCTTAGCCGGACTTAGGTTCATTGACTCGTGTCAATTTCTATTGTCGTCATTAGCCAGCCGCCTGATTAAAACCAACGATACCTTCCTATCAACGATCGATACACAGGCGGTGACTAGATCTCTGCTTATGAGGAAAGGTGTGTATCCCTATGAGTACATGGATAGTTGGACTAAGTTCGCGGAGACCAGACTACCCCCATCAGAGAATTTTACAGCAATCTGACCGACTCGGAAATATCCGAAGACTCGCATTACTTTCAGACGCTATTAATGTATGGAATAAACTTGGTTGTAAAACCCTGGGTGATTATCACGATCTGTACTTGAAGATGGATGTACTACTATTAGCGGCGTATTTGAGACATTTAGGCGGACATGTATCAAGCAGTATAAACTAGATCCGGCATGGTATTACACCAGCCCAGGCCTGTCGTGGGATGCCTTGCTTAAAAAGACCGGAGTTAAGTTGGAATTGCTTACTGATTATGACATACACCTGTTCATTGAGAAAGGCTTGCGAGGTGGGATCTCCATGGCAGCCAAACGACACAGCTAAAGCAAATAATCAATGCGTGAAGGACTACGACCCTAGCAAGTCAACCAATCACATTCTCTATCTCGGCGCCAAGCAACCTGTACGGCTGGGCAATGAGCCAGTATCTACCCACAGGGGATTTGAATGGGTATCATCCGATTCCCCGATATTATGAGCATCGCTACCGGATTCGAACAAAGGTTATATCCTCGGTTGACTTGGAGTATCCCAAGGCATTACACACATCATTAACAACAGTTACCCCTAGCCCCTGAACGTATGAGGGTTAACCCAGACTGGATGTCTGAATACCAACATAACTTGTTAGATAGGCGGGTGACGGCGCTTGAAGCTTCGTGCCTAACTTAATGAATAAGACCAAGTACATCGTTCACTATCGCAACCTGCAGCTGTACCTGTCGTTGGGTATGAAACTGACCAAAATACACAGAGAGTGCTGAAGTTTGCCCAAAGTCCTTGGATGGAGCCTTACATCAGAATGAACACGGACCTGCGAAGCTGGCCACCAGTGACTTTGAGAAAACTTGTATAAGCTCATGAACAACTTCGGTGTCCGGTAAAGGCGATGGAAAACCTGAAGAAAAGCGGGTGGGACGTAAAGCTGGTTCGATTCGAATGAGGAGGAAAAACTCAGGAAGTTGATCGCTAACCCTGCATTCAACCGTAGTAAGATATTCGATAAGCGACCTGGCTGCCATACACATGAAGAAAGTCACATAATATTAAACCGACCTGTTTACGTTGGGATGAGCATCCTTGATTTATCCAAACACTTGATGTAACGACTTTTACTACAACGAGCTTAAGAAACAATGCGGCGACAGGTGCGAAGTGCTGTACACTGACACGGATTCCTGCTGATGGAGATTCGAACCGAGGACATGTAATGCGAGGACATGAAAAACACCTCGATTTGTCGCGACACCAGCGACTACCCCAAGGACCATACCATACACAGCACGGTGAATAAAAAGGTCCTAGGTAAGATGAAGGACGAAGTGTGCTGGCGCCTACATAGCGAGTACATAGGGTTGAGGCCTAAGATGTACTCCATACTGAAGGCCGACAATGGTGAAACTGAAGGCTAAGAGGTGTTAAGAAGCACGCGGTGAAACAACACATCAAACACGCGCCAGATTCAAGGCTCTGTTCAAGACCCGTGCCTTTAAACATAAAATGAACACACTTAGAAGTGATAGTCATAGGATATATGGGCTGACAATAAACAAGACGCCCCTGTCGCTTCCTATGGATACTAAGCGTTGGATAGCTATTGATGGGATAAACACGCAGCGTCGGGCATGAGAAAATTGAACCAAGAACATAGGTATAAATAAATGGCGACATGTCACGGAACCAGAAAAAGTTTGAGGCTATTTACTACAGTCCGCGTGGGTACTGGAAAGGAGCTAGCTGTAGATAAGCTGGCTAAAATGGCGCGAGTATCCCCGAGGAGACCAAAAGCGTGGCTTGAAAAACAAGCACTTTGGCAGATATATTTACCACCACCACGCTATGTGCCTAGAAGGAAGTTTGGTATTAATATACCTATGCGCGTTCACCAAGCAGACCTGCTGTTCCTACCTCCGCGACAGGGTGAGGCGTAAAAACCTACAAGTATGCCCTGACTATCGTGGATGTAGCCAGCCGGGTATAAGGAAGCTGAACCATTGACGCGAAGATTCGAATCTGGTGGCTCCAAGCCATGGGCGCATATACAAACGCAGTCCACTGACTTGGCCAACAGAGCTGCAAGTTGACCCCGGCGAGTTCATGGGTGCCGTGTCGCAGTTGCTGACTAAGCCGCGATACAAGGGTTAGGCGTGGTACTGCGGGGCTCATCGCAGTCAAGCCATAGTTGAAAGATTTAATAGGACTTTGGCTGAGCGTTTATTTGGGCACCAGTAATGCGCTAGAGAGATGACCAACCCAGGAAAACAATGACGGAATGGGTTGAACGGCTCCCTAAGGTGGTGTCGGCAATCAACCATGAAATCACACGACTCACTGACAAGAAACCGGCAGGCGCTATCAAATTAAAATCAGTGATGGCCGAACGGCTGCTCCATCGGGGACATTTTGCTTGAAATCCCGACTAAAGTCTTATTTTATGAAATAAAGCTCTGTAGTAGATGGTAATGGTAAGGGTCCAACTAAGGCTTTATCTATTAAATGAAGCCTTAGATTACCCTGGTCCAGGACTGTCATCCTGTCTACTACTCACTGTGTCCCTGACTCTCGTGACCTTAGTGAAACAGTGAATAAGTGAGTTGTGTCAAAAGCTACATTGTACTTATATCATAGCCCGTTAGAGCAGTCTGGCAGGAAGGCATAAAGGGATGCTTGTCTTGGAAAAATTTTCAAACTTACTCATCAAAATCACATCTTCACTCCAACACAATATCTCTGTGTGATCAGAAGACACCTCAGTTGTGACTGGGTGAAGACACCTTCATAACAGTGAGTTGAGTTTAGTTTTGGCAGATTCCAGCAATAATACCAGAAATGGGCTTCACAGATTGTACCCATGTGAACTGCTTTGAACCCTCCCTGATCTTAATGAAGAATATGAAGGTGTTTCATTCTAATGGATGTCAGCCTTCGAAACAACATATATTCACCACCTTGATTTTGAAATTCTAGTAAGCATGTACTCCCTTTTAGGCGTAGATGCTCCCGGGTTCAAAACATACAGGGTGCATTAAATATCCACAACAATGTAATATCGTATATCCAGTCCAAACCATATACATTCCAGAGTTATAGTTTCGAGATACAGAAATTAAATTTGTTTGTCTGAATCCAATGCTCACTCGTACCAAGAAGCTATTAGCTGTGAGTGAGTTTGGTTTTACGCCGCACTCAGCAATATTCCAGCTATATGGTGGCAGTGCTATAAGCTGTGACACCTTTAGCCAGATAAGTTAGTTCCCCTGTCACAACCACCAACAGAGGTAGTGCAGAGGGGTATCATATCTGGAAAAGATCTGAGTTTCATTTAGTGCTATAGAGGGGTATCATATCAGTGGAAAAGATCTGAGTTTCAAGAGACGGGTCTGAGTTTCATGAGATTGAGACCAAAGGTAAACCAAAGATCATAAAATGCCACTTTGTTTTATGGTTTATATATTTCCAGTTGATCAGAGACCTCATTAACTTGCACAGGTAAACATGTAAGTACATTTGTGAAGACAATATTTTTCTCTCTGGTTACAGAGAAGGCGCTTTTTGAGTGGGGTCTGTATTGGCTATTCAACAATTATAAGGCAAAATTTTATAGTTTTCTTTCTCAGGACTCAATTCAAGGAACTTGATTTTACCCTGTATGTTGACATGACAACCAAGTGGCACCAGACAAACAGAAGTTGCACCCTGGTCCCAAAATGTCATCAAGGTTGAAACAGAAATTTATAAATTAGTCTAACTAAACAAACCAAGTGAACCCAGGGTGTTAACAGAGCTCCAGCAAGTGGTCACCTTCAGGGGTTAGCAGGTGAAGAATAGACAAACAGGTAACAAACTAGAGGCTGTTAGTGGCATAAGGGAAAATAAGTACCTTAAAGAATTCACACCTTTGTGAATTAATAGTGATTATGCAACAATTTACGTGATGCACAAATGTAGAGAATGATGCAGAAAACCAAATATACTGCATTTGGAGAAACACACAAAAATAACAAGAGTGTACCTCCAGCGCATGAAGAGTAGTCACCAGTATCTGTTATTTCAGCCATCAGTGAGGACAACTGTCCACATGACCACTGGTTCAGTCCAGGCACTGTTCTAATGTACACTACACAGGCACAGGACCCTACTCATCTATTATCAGCAAGGACCCATAAAATTTATTGATGGGGGTCCTTTTGGACCCTTACTTTTGAAAGTCAAGGTAAAACCCTGATAGCATTATCACAGAAGCCTGCTAATATTGTAAAACATGGGGAATAGGCATGTCTTGGCCATTTAACTGTAGTGGTTCTTGAACCACAACGTCATCAATGACACATGATCAGCCTAATAACACATTGTCAGCACCTGATACCCGTTAGTAAGCTACAGCAGCTCCTACGATATATTTGGGACCCAGAAACCTACTCTGGCAGATTCCCACAGAGTGCACAGAAGATAGAAAGCAGAAAGAGTTGAAAGGTTGCCAGATGCAAGCTACTAACCACTTGTTTCAGAGTGCCCACAACGTAAGCAGGCCAACTACAGGAGAACAGAATAGGTCGTCCGGTCTGGTTGAGAAAAAACTCCATCAAAGGATAGCCTGTAGAACAGACATGAAACAATACCCTTAACCAGTGGGACAAGCAGCAGTTTCAGGCAAAACCTGTCAGTGTCTGTATATCATTGTCATGACATGTGCAAGAGCGTTCAGCCAATCTGGGCATTAAAGAACAGTCGTTTTGCAGTTTGAATCGTCATAAATGTTAATATTCTGTGACTGAAATACTAAAACAAACAGTTATTAGTTGCAGTTTTCATCACAGATTCAACTAATCACAAAATAGATTATAATTCCACAGAGAAGCATTTCGAAAATGACCTTTCATATTTGCATCTGTATCCGCATATGACCCCAACAGGTGAGAAACATACTTAACATAAAAAAATGCTATTCGTTATCAACCTTGTCAAAAAACGTCATGGGGCAGAGGTTTCATGTTGCAGTGTCAGTCCTCACATAGGTTTGGTTCTAAACATTGGCACAGGTCATGAAGCATTATCTTGGTCACTTGCTGATACGGCAGGAATATTGACAAAGTGTGTAAAGCCACACTCACTCACTCTACAGACTGAACACTATGTAATCTTCTTTCAAGAAATACAACATCAAACAGATTTGAAAAGACTAACACAGTATCCAACAGACTTAAATACGCCATTAATACACCATCAACAGACTTCAAAACATCAATACACCATCAACAGACTTCAAAACATCAATACACCATCAACAGACTTCAGAATATCCATACACAATCAACGGACTTTAAAACCACAATACCCTGAACATACGACCTCTTGACTACAAACCCCCTGATTATACAACCCCTTGACCACAAAACCCCTGAATACAGGTCCCCTTGACCACAATCCCCCTGAATATACAACCCCGTGTCCACAACCCCCCTGAATATACGACCCTTTGACCACACACAGCAAGCATGCATGCAGCAAGCACTAGCAGGCACCAACAGGCACCAGCAGGAAGCCAAGCCTCCGTCTGGCCTACCTTGATTCCCACAGCTCTCAGGTAGCCGGGCCACTCACAAGAAAACAGCATTGGTCGTGTGGTCAGATTCAGGAACATGCTCATGGTGGAGTAACCTGGTGCATGAGTTAATGTAAGTGGCCCTCGGTCTAATTACAGTCTCTGCTACAGCAGTTACTGTTGCCACCTTGTCCATACACTAACAGGAACAGAAACATGTCTTGTCCAAAGACCTATGGAAAATCACATTACATTAGCAACATGTACAAACCCATAAGGACGACTTTGTTCACCTCCTCTTAATCTTCAAATTTCTGACCAGTGTGGGCCAAAATGTCAAATTATAACTTTAATATGTGTTTTCTCATTTCTGATACTATATGTACTGATCTTGCATGTCAAGACACCACAGACAATGATGAGGTCAGCATTTCGTTTTCATGAGTACAAATCACATATGATCATATGTCATCCAGATTTCCACATTTCAACCTCATCCTTCTGAATACCTTCTGCAACTATTCCTGAATCTTTGAACAACACATGTATGTGTTCAGATTAGTCATGGACATTCGTACAAGGTTACAGCAGTTTTTACACCACAGCAAGAACTTCTGCCTTCTGAAAGAGAGTGTGATTAGAGATATAGCATGGTAGGTGAGCCCAACCTGGTGATCATAGAGCGGCCACTCGCAGGAGAAGAGCATGGGTCGCTTGGTCAGGTTCAGGAACTTACTCATCACCGGGTACCCTGCGGTGGCCAAACATACATGTCAGCTCAACAAGGGGATCACTGATGAAAACACTGCTACAGACGTTCAATTACAACACAAGCAATAAAAACATTTGGTTCTTTTAAAGGCCATATATAAAGGCTTTGTTTCAAGGGACCTACATGACCTTACAATTAGCTAGCTGAAAATATGTTTAAAGCCAGCTGAAATGTTTCAAGTATAATGTATACAAACACCCACTTTAAATCAGCATTTGACTGTCCTGTTGTGGTAATATTTTCTGAGGGGGCCAGGGATTTTTGTCTGAGATAAAATTGTTTTCAGTCATCAACAAAAACACATTTTACTTGAATACCAACTTCTAAATGCCTCTCAAGAACCTCAAAAACACATTTGTTTTTTGTCAAAGATTGAGACTATAAAAATACTTATAGAACTGCACAAAAATATACCTTCAATGCAAGAGAATGACAAGTCTTCAAGCAGATTCCATACTACAGATACCATACTGGCACTCATCATTCTCACAAGTATTTATCGTCTATATCAGAACAGCGGCATATACACAAAGGTGGACAATACAAATTCAGATAGTGAGTGAGTGAGTGTGGTTTTACGCCGCTTTTAGCATTATTCCATGAATATCACAAAGGGGGTACCAGAAATGGGCTTCACACTTTGAACCTTTGTGGGGAACAGAACCTGGGTCTTCAAGTGTCCAGTGTTTATTTTCCTTTAAGAGCCCTAGAAAATGCTACCCCACTGCCCCAAAATTCAGATAATACAAGATGTCCAGTGTTTTCCATTTTCTTTTAAAGTCTAATGTAAAATATCTTTTCAGAAAATGTTTTCTTAAAAATTACCAACACCCCTGGGAATATTCACTAGTCACCCCTTCACCCAGATCTACCTCCTTCACTTCCCCTACTCCACATATGGTTCATGTTCCCATCTATACAAGATCTATGTAAGATGACCTGAGATTTAGGGCCTTTGACATGATCTCTAGAGTAATCAGTGTCACCAATATTCCAGCCACTGATTGATCATCCTCAGTTATCCGTTAAACTGTAATATATCTCCATATTCATGAGTATGTAATATATCTCCATATTCATGAGTATGTTATGGCACAATGTCCAAACAGTAAAACACAGTTAACCAATCAGATTTCACTATTCTCTCAAAACTGAAACAAGCAGTGACTACTTTTTCACTGGTCTAGTTTTGCTTTCTCTCAAATACTAAACACATCTATAACTTGCTATTACTTCTCCTTCACATCTGAAGCATGTTAGCATGGTAATAGATTTACAGAAACTGGAAATGGTGGATTGCTGTGATGTACAAAAAATACAGAGCTTCATGCAAATTAAAATTTGTTAGTTAGCCTGCATGAAAATGTAAGGCCAGGTATTAGAACACAAATGTTACAAGTGATTACGTTTCACAACAAAATGAAGGGTCATTGACCTTTTCGTTTGGAGACAAAACAACTTAATTTTGATTTAGCTATGTGATAGGACACAGGACACTGATTCGACAGTTAAGAGAAGGTGTTAACAATTTTCAAACTACGAATCATGGTTATAAACATTTTTTTTCATTGTAATGGTACTTACCTACGTCCATATCTTTCGGATCAGAATTACAACCATCAAACTTGAGGAGATCTATTTCCCAATCAGCAAATGTGTTTGCATCTGTGCGGAGGAAGAATTCACTCCCTGGGTAGCCTGCACAGGTTTCTTTACCAAAGTCTTCATAGATGCCTAGCTTCAGCCCCTTTGAATGCATCTAAACAGACAATAAATTCCAGTAAATTCCAGTTCAATGATGGCAGCCTGTAAATAATTGAACATGGATCAGACAATCCAATGATTGATATTGTGAGAAACAGGCCATGCCATCAGGTTACCATGACGCCGAGACACCAAACCTGACCAACCGATCAGTTTGTCAGTGAGTATGGTTTTCCGCCACTTTTAGCAATATTCCAGTAATATCATGGCGGGGGACACCAGAAATGGGCCTCACACATTGTACCCATGTGGGGAATCGAACCCAGGTCTTCAGCATGACAAGCAGATGCTTTAACCACTAGGCTACCCCACCACCCTGATGAATTTAAACCCAGAGTCCCCACATTATAGAAGATAAAAAGAGTAATGGTTCTGCAGCTCACCTTCATTTATCTGGACTATTCTCATAATTGAAACTATAGTAGTGATTGGCACTGACTTAGCCTACTTGATCTGTGAGTGTAGACTGAAATAGTGAGAACTGCACATATATTGTTACAGTCTCCAGGGACAGTTACAGTCATCAAAGACAGTTACAGTCACCAGGGACAGTTACTGAAGCAGACCAGGGTGTAACTCACTCAAGAAAATATTGATCAGTATACTGCTACAACAATATATTCATAATGAAAAATATTATTACTTGCATACCTTATATCAAGAAAATATAGTAACAGTCAGTATTGTGAAATATATATAATGAAATAGTTCATTGTAGAAGGAAAGCTCAAAGTGATGCTGGTCTTCGGATGTTTACAACTCTTAAGAAAGCCACCATTACTGTAATGTTAGTAGAAAGATGTGACATCTATCAGTAAGTTGGAGGAAACAGACAGCATTAATATGTTCTACTATCTACACACATAAAACCTTCATGTAATGTTTTGAGAGACAGTATTTTGTCCTGCAACCAAATATTCTAGAATCATGTTGGTGGTGTGGCAGTTGAACACTTTAACCACAGGGCTACCCAACTACCCTGATGTTTTGAGAGACAGTATTTTGTCCTGCAACCAAATATTCTAGAATCATGTTGGTGGTGTGGCAGTTGAACACTTTAACCACAGGGCTCCCCAACTACCCTGATGTTTTGAGAGACAGTATTTTGTCCTGCAACCAAATATTCCAGAAATTGACATCAGGAGACACAAGAAGAGGGTTTCTGTGGAGAACTGAATCATGTTGGTGGTGTGGCAGTTGAACTCTTTAACCACAACGCTACCCTACTCCCCTGATGTTGAGGTTCTCTACATGTGGTACTTACATACTGAGACAGGTTTTTCATGCCACTGGGGAACCTGTCCGGATCGCCCTGGAGCCTGCCCTCCGCATCACGTTCCTTGGCAGGCCAGCAGTCGTCAATGTTGACATACTCGTACCCAAGGTCACGATAACCTTCAGCAACCATCACGTCAGCGATGGACTTGTACAGATGTTCACTGTCAACAGACAGGAGGGAAACTATGACTACACAAGAGAAAACTATGAAGAGAAATATTTATTAGCCATAAACATTCAGAATCAATTTGTGACTGAACGTTTGTGTCCGTCTACATTCCATAACCAGTAAATAACAATTTGAAGTTGACATTGAATTGAAAGTTTTTTTCACAAGTACAAATAAATTAGTGAGGTAAACAGGTAAGATTTCATAGCTATAGTGCTGAAGCCCGGATACTATATCTTCAGCCGCAATAGCCGAGTGCCGCTATGAGGGCCTTCAGTCAAGACATGCACAGGGAAATAACCTTTCAAAATTTCCCACCTGACCACAGGACCAGTGAGTGGACAATAATAAGTGGTCCTGTCTATACTTGACTGGTCTAAAATAACATTCGTAGATTTACTTAACTATCACTACAAAATACACATTCCACCAGCACCACTGCAATCTTATCATTTAGCGGTCCTGATGAATTTTTACTAGCCAGGGACCACAGGACCAGTGTAAATTTTGCGGACTGCATGCATCTCTCAGCCAGGCCTATAGGTCATATTTAGTTGGAAGATGATTTTCTTTATCCAACAAAAGATTGATAAGGTGAGAATACTAGTGTTAGATGGAATAAATAAAAAACTTTACTACCTGCAGAACAAAATTTCGACCTTCGTAATTTCTTAAGGGCAAATAGCGAACCTGTTTAGTTATGATTGGCAATAACTATCAAGCTTTGGGGATTTACAGTGCACTTTATTCACAATCGCCATGTTCACACCCTGATTGAGTTGGTTCCACTGTGATTGAATTAATTAGGGTCAAGTGATTCACTTCGTACCGTGGAGGGCACCCGTCACACGTAATATACAACAGTAAGTCATCTTGCATACATGTTACATCTCAAACATGGCCACTAATTATAAAGTACATGAGGTAGTCAGTTGAAACAGTCTGAAAACCAGGAGTAATGCCATTCCCAGGGGTAAATTTAATACACAGGTCGAACTCATAACCAAGGTACAGTTCTGAGAAATGTAGAAACATAATCAGGCCAAACTTGGAATCGAACTCAGAATCAGTGAATTCTGGCACATTTTTTATCATGGGGTGTGAAATGTGAAAAATTATACCCTGCCACGAGCTATTCACACACATAATAATAAAACTGTGGCCTGACATCGTTAAACCGTCAACAACTTTATTGTTTACCAGGCAGTTATTGACCATGTTGTCTACACCTGTTACATTCCAACTATAGGACTTTTGTCAGCATGCAAGGTGAATCAGTCACAGCTATGGGGATTACATAACCAGTATCTGCGACTGACCAAAATTTGTCTGTGGTTCAACGGACCAACACAAAGACACATCTACTGGTCCTGTTTGACCTCTCCTGGATGCAATAATCCTTTCAGAAAAGCGTTTTGAAAGGTAATAATTACTGGCCAAACTACAATGAGGCACCAGCCACAAGGTAACCACTGTGTATGCAGGGTTGCCATGCACTGTGCCATTCAGGGTTGTAAACATTGTTTGTGGACAAGAGTTCATCTATCATCATCATCATCATCATCATCATCATCATCATCACAGATTTCAAAATTTCAAATAAAATTATTCTGTAGGTCCTTAAAATAACACTAGGTCACTGGAGCAGTAATTAGTTCATTTTACAGGTCCTCCCAAAATGCTAGACTCAGACAAGCAGATCAGTGTTAGCGTCAAACACTGAAAATCATAATATCTGTCTGAGTAATAATAATTTTCTCTGCTCAAGAGCTTTAGACAAAATACTGTAGGACTTATGATACTTATATATGTTAATATATACAAAGTATTTTGATTGGTTTGCTGATCACAAACAGCATCAGTTCAGTAATATTGTTGGTCAATCAGTTGCTGATAGTTATTGAATCATCTGTGTTCTCTTGAATAATGGCCAAAGTGATGAGACCTGTGAAGATCTGGGGTAGAATTGGTCTTCAGTAACCCATGCTTGTCGTAAGAGGCGACTAACAGGATCGGGTGGTCAGGCTCGCTGATTTGGTTGCCAAATGTCATCGTATCCCATTTGTGTAGATCAATGCTCATGTTGTTGATCACTGGATTGTCTGGTCCAGACTCGATTATTTACAGACCGCCACCATATTGCTGGAATATTGCTGAGTGTGGGGATAAACAACAACCAAACTAAACCAAAGTGATGTGCCTTAGAAAATAGTGCCCCCCATGCCCCTCCAGGTATGGTCATGCACAGAAAGCATGTCGCCCCATACAAAAGTATGGTGGTGAGGAGTGGTGGAATAGGGTTGGACGTCACATACAGATTACACTTTTATATTAGTCATATAAGTACACAGTAATGTATATATATGTGCTGTTTGTACCAGTCTGAACTAACACCATATTTTATACTGCTGGCCATAACGATACCATGCCATAGTTTCTCATGGAGTCCCGACACAATCAGTATACCAACTCCAATCCAACCAGTTTTATCCCCTATTAAGCTGATCATCTGTCAGGGTAACAAAGATTACAATCATTGAACATCTCTTGGTGTGACACAGCTCACATCTTAACCACCAACCCACTAGTAGTTCTACTCTAAGGCAGATGTTCAAATCACAAAAGACGAGCATTAAGTACAAGGGACAGACATTAAGAGTGAGTGAGTTTAGTTTTACGCCGCACTCAGCAATATTCCAGCTATATCCCGTTAGTCGGCGAGCCTGACCACCCGATCCCGTTAGTTGCTTCTTACAACAAGCATGGGTTACTGAAGATCAATTCTAACCCGGATCTTCACGGGTACATCAAGAGACAAACGACATTACCTGACACAGTTTTCCGGGTCATTCTTGCAATCCAAGTTACAGCGAAATCGCTCCCAGGACAAGAAACCCATGGGTGGTGTGCGAGCCAGGCCATTGTTGAGTCCATGCACGACCCCACACAGCAACAGTAGGCACAGGTACTGGTGCATTCTTGAAGTTAGCTGGAAAGAGTGCAAAGTGTTATGGTGTGATTGGCTCTTTGAGTGGGTGTTATAACATCAAGACTACTACTACTACTACTACTAGTACTACTACTACTACTACTACTACTACTACTACTACTACTACTACTACTACTACTACTACTACACTACTACTACTACTTACTACTTACTACTACTACTACAACTACTACTACTACTACTACTTACTACTACTACTACTACTACTTACTACTACTTACTACTACTACTACTGCACTACTACTACTACTACTTACTACTACTACTGTTAAACCCAATTTCACCTCACCTCACTTACTACAACTACTACTATCACTACCACAACTACTACCACTTGTTCCTTCCCCTTATATTTGTTTTATTTCAACCACTGTAAACATGTTAAAATTACATGAAGTAAGTGGCTAAATTATGACCACATTCACAAAATAATGATTTTTCCCCATGTTAAGGATCTTCTATATTACAAAGCTGTGTTTTAAATAACACACTATGGACAAATCAATAATGACCAGCAATGTATAACATTCCATTGACATTGCATAACATTCAGTATTAGTCGACATTGTATAACATTCAAATTACAATGTAATCTACATATTTTGGAGACAATAACATGTTTCTGTACATGTATATGTAATACTGAAACAGGTTATCATGGTTATAGTCATGGTATAACTGAATTAGCGGGCATGATCATGTTGACATGAAATTTTACTTCACCACAAACATACATAATTTTCTATGAATGAGTTTGAGAAATGTTATTCCCAAATAAATCTATGCATTTGGATTACAATATCAAATTAAAAGGTTTGAATGTATTGATGCAACATTGCATTAAATCGAGTCTCGCGCCCTCTACAAGCTGAACATCATTTCAAGCGAACCTCATAGAGTTACGTCCCTTGGAGCGCTCTTTACTAATATCCTACACACAACCTGTGATTGAATCCAGTTCGGCAAACACCGACAACACCACGTACGACAGCTTTCGATGTATGGAGCAATTGTTTACATTACATATATGACAAGTGTTATCTGTTTGGAAGCCGTTCGCCTTCCAGTTTCAATTATCGGTTTCAGGCAAGTCGAAAGGGATAATAAGTCTTTTATTGCATCAATAGGAAGCTAAAGTGAGTGCAGATGCCCCCAAATATATATAATACAGGCCAAAATATTGTCGAAAATGTTTGACATTGTGCCTTTAACAGATCATTATATCATTGGCATTATTTGTATGAAAAGCAGTTGCTTGAAATTTTGATTCTCAAATAAACTGGTTACTTTCCACTGAGGATGTCACTATTTGAAAACACTCACATCATCTATTTGTTTCACCGAAATCATTTCATATCCAATCAACCATTTATGACATCAAGTGTTACAAACATCTACAAAACAATACTGAGTCATGTTCCACTGTTTGACAGCTACAGCCATGATCAAGATGATGCCACTGACTGTGATACACCATAGACAGATGACACTGACAGACTGCTGCAAACTGTGGATTCAGTGTGTTGTTACCATGGTTACAGAGAACATTTCCCATTGTGGTAATATAAATTTGGATAAGCCACATAAATTTGACTTCATTTTGATCATTTATAATATCAAACTGACGTATTATTTAACCAAAATGCACATAAGACACTGGGTGATCCAGGGAGCAGGTACTTCTCCAAATCCCATTTGCTCAGACAATTTCAATATTAACTCAATAAAAATTACTCCATTATCAAAACTGGCATGACAGGACTAGTTCCTATCTTTCACTACAAGGCTTGACAACTTACTTGAACTGTTTCCACAACCACTGAAGCCAGAGAGCAAGTAACATGATTAACACCAGCTATTTACAACCATGCCACCAGCTGTGACAATCAGCTGACAAGGAAATCTATAAGAAACACAATGACCAAGCGGGACATGTAAACCTCGATCATCACAGTATCTGACCACAAGAACTCAAATAATTTACTTACACATTGCTAGAGGCTAACTGGACTTTACAGGAGCAAAATAGTGTATCTAATATGGATGAAAATTAAGAATGTGTGCAAGTAATTGGACAACTGCATTGGACGGAAATGGATATTAGCAGGGTTAATTTAACAGCAGAATGATTCATCATATATTTATGTTATGATAAGACATCATATCCTTCACTTAACGCTAAGTCTTGATTCAAGGAGGGACATCTCCTTAAAAATACACATCACCCATCAGACAAACTCAGGTTGATAATTATGCATTTTATGCACAATTTATACCAAGAGTCCCCAGAATTTACACACCAGCATGCACTCACATGCGCACACATTGGCTAGAGGCTCAGATAGGGGTGGAGGGCACTACACAGCACAACTTATCCCCACAGGAAGGAATTGGGGTTGTTGAACCCAGAACGGTGTTGAGATAAAACAGATCTGGTTGACATTTAACAAACACACTCTTACTCTGATTTGAGAAAATCTATAGATATATATATATATATATGGTCTCAGCTCTGATGGTCGAAAATGTCCATAAGGACTTCCCTAACCCCCAACGTTAACACACCCACCTACTCCCAATTCTTTTGATGGGTCCCTTTTGATACTGACAGCATCATAGTCAACTAAACAGAGACAGCATACCATGAGACAAACATTGCGGACCCCTTTAGGCACGAGTCATCCAGTTGTTTAGGTACGAGGTGGTAAAGATTGTCCAGCCGAGTCGGCCCCGTCTGATGCGGTCCTATAAATGTCTTGACAGTATAGATCTAGGACTGCATCGCGGCTCTCGGCTACCCCGGGTACTGCAGTGTCTGCACTACGGATTGTCCCGTTCCCACTGGAGTGCACTTTGTGAGAGTCGTGTTTATGTGCAACAACACTACTGGAGTTGTGCACAGTGACGTGCAGGGAACGGGGGAGGCAAGCTCTCTAGGGGCTACACTTTATTACGAATTCTTGTTGGGTTGACAACGTAACTCATAAATGAAAAACGACTGACAATAGAACCTCATTGAGATTCTCTTCCGTCCCCGAAATTGGCCGAATACAACACAGACAGGTAAATACGCCGGATGCCCACAGTGCACGTTTAAATCAATAAGGAAATGCAGGGTTTAGATCTGTTTCTAGCACGCCACGGAGTATACAGTAGCCATCTCTATTACTTACGTGTGTGTACCGCTATCTCCCGGTGTCTTCCCTGACGATAATAGGTAACACCTTCCGCTTCGATATACTCATGTGACAATCACATGACTTTCCCCATTCCTCGGTAAACATCGTCAATCTCCGTAAACTTTTCCGGCCAGTGACCCTTATACAAACCTGAATAATCTGTTCCGTGAAAGGTTTAGAGGGATCTGGTGAATATAATTAAAGGGGGGTAACTACTGTAAGTTGCACATATTCATTTCCGTGGGCTGGGTCACTGAAAAGTCAAAGCCTACTCAGTAAAGTTTATCTACAGTTCGACTTCTTTCGATTATCTGATTCAATCTGCATCTCTGAAATGTATCAAGCTATTTTTGTGTCTGTATTACGTGAGTATGCTTTGATCATTACAATATCGTCTTAAAGAAGTCTTACAATGTAAAAGCAGAGACCATGGTCGCTGGTAAAAGTTAAGGATTCAGACAGGTGGATAACTTCCTTTCGCACTGACTCAGTAACTGGTCTTCACAAATTGTAATATATAAACATTTTCGCATACCAAACTGCTGACACCATGTAAAGCCATCAAAGGCAAGATTCAAGCATGAAAGGAATTCCTCAAACAATATTGTGTTATCTTATTGGATACCCGGTTTTATAAACCTGTAATTAACATATGTTATGTTTGGGATTACACTTTCCTAATTAGTAAAGTACAGATTCTTGTACTTTTGTTGGGTTGTGTCCCATACCAGTTGTCCAACTTCCATTTTTGTGGAAGCTGCGATTGCTGAGCAATTTAGGCGGCTGACTTTGTGTTCCTGCGATTAGGTGCTTGACTCTGAGGGGGAGGGTTCGAATCCTGTATAGGACTCAACCCAACAAAAGTACTCATCTGTACTTTACTAAGAAAGTGTAATCCCAAATATAACATGTTACATTTGACCACTTTCTAAATGGCAGTGTCTATTCATAAACCTGTATTATCATTACTATTATTATTAGTTGTAGAGAATTGTGGATGCAATCTTTTAAACAGGCAGCTTTACGTTGCATTTTAATCATTATCATAATGATAGTGATCATCATCATCATCATCATCATCATCATCATCATCATCATCATCATCATCACCACCATCATCATCATCATCATCATCACCATCATCATCATCATCATCATCACCATCATCATCATGTGACTTCTTCATCATCATCATCATCATCATCATGGATATCATCATCATTTCATGTTGCCATTCTATCTTTCATGTGACAGTGTTGGTGTGTGTGTCCATCATCAAGGACTGCATGTTGCCAGAAGTTCAGTGTTGGTGTGTGTAGTAAGTGCAAACTACAGAAGTTCAAGGTAGTAAGTGACTACAGCACTAGGGAGTGTGTGAGCGGGGAGGCAGTGGGCTGCCAGAACCCCTTCCCCTACAGCACCCTGCAGGAGTGTCAGGATGACTTCAATGGTCAGTGTTTGAGAGAGACTAACTTGTTCAATGGGTGGATGGGGTGTGTTATTACAGTCAGCCAGGAAAGACTTCCACCCGTGTCCCCCCTTAGCTGCAAGGCCCTAACCTAAGGCCACATAAAATATATTTCTTGTTTCTCATCACTTTTTTGAAAAAAAATGGATAGGTTGGGCAGATTTTATTTTTATTTGTTAATGTTTTTTTATAATTTCTAATCAATGTTAGTCAAAAACTTGGAATGCTGGAAGCTGAGACGAATTTTGCAAGTTTGCTTGCCTTATACAAGCAAATGAACCAGTGTGAAAATATATAAAAAGTTAGGGTCCGGCCAACTTTTAGGGTCGGGCAGTAATGAGAAACAAGAAATTATTTTTATGTGGCCTAACCCTAAACCTAAACCTAAACCCTAACCCTAACACTTATTTTATGGTATCTAGTCAAATCATTACTGGTGTATATATGTATATATATATATCGCTGAATAAGCTGCAGGTCTGTGTTTTATCATAACGTAGTTGAGATGTTTGCCCTTGATATCAACCATTGGTTTGTGTCGGCCACATTTTATAATACTGCAGGGCAAAGTTACACCAAAGCTGATTGTTTGAGTTTTCTACTGTACATTCATCCATTTGCAAACTCTCATCTTGAAACTTCATCAAATGTATCTGAGACACAAACTTACAAACATTTGTCCTGAAGTATTCGAAATTTATCATCTGCTCGAATTTATGTTATTGATGCCAGGTGAGCTTCTGTACCTATGACCCTGGTGTGTGATTATGAATAATATACTGGTATTGTCATCGTCAAGTGCTATGAGAGATTTTCAGATTTCCCTTAAGATAAAGTTGTCGAATTCTGTTTGGTCAATAGCCAAAGCATACGAAGCATGTAGGCAGATTTGTCAAATCTGTCACGTGACACACTATACTGGTTGTATAGATGACCTTGACCTTAGATGGAATGTGGCTGCCAAAAAGCTGATCGTTTCGAAATTTTAGAGTTTGCCTGTACAATTATGAGTACAAACAGAGTAATAAAATTGTTGCCATAATTTCTTAATTGTTTGTGTCAATAAAAATATAAAAAATATAATGTTTCTGCATTTCACTTGTTCATCTGTTGTTCAACAAAACCTCAAATTTGCTCATTTTTATCATAGACTAAGCCATCATGAGTTATCTCCCTTTAAGACCGTTCAGGAAATATCTTGGTGAAACATTTTCGTCTCATTCTGCTGAAGATTGAATGTTGATTTTTAAAGATAAGCTAAATAAAGAGATTTTAAGGATTATAAATTCATCACACAGTGTTTTGAAAGGGTGTAGGGGACTGTAAGACCCTTGTAAAGTCCGTATTTACAGTCTTTCAGTCCCGTACACCCTTTCAAAACACTGTGTAGCTAATAATATCAGATAAGTTGGAACCTGTACATCTAGGCTGTTTTTCTGTTTACTATTGACTTATGATAGTGGAGTCAGTGGTCACAAGCTGGCATGCTTCAGTCCCTAGACTTACTAATAACAAACTTAAACAGTGCAGTAACATGCTCCTTATTACTGTAATGGGAGAGAATGATTTGAAGGTAATTTTGGATTCTGCAGGGCCAATAACCAAAGAATATTGAAGAATGATTGCTGTTTCTGGGGAGGCTATCCTCCCCCAAAATACATTAAACATCAACTGAATGGAAGAGACTTTCAATGATGATCCCGACTCTGGTCAACCACAGAAGGGGACAGGGGTCCTCATCACAACTTTATAATGAATTATAGGCACATCACACTCCATGAGGAGACCACAGAAGGGGACAGGGGTCCTCATCACAACTTTATAATGAATTATAGGCACATCACACTACATGAGGAGACCACAGAAGGGGACAGGGGTCCTCATCACAACTTTATAATGAACTATAGGCACATCACGCTCCATGAGGACACCACAGAAGGGGACAGGGGTCCTCATCACAACTTTATAATGAATTATAGGCACATCACACTCCATGAGGACACCACAGAAGGCAACAGGGGTCCTCATAAAACGTTATACTGAATTATAGGCACATCACACTCCATGAGGAGACCACAGGCTGTGGCTCATGTCAATATTTCAGCTCTATTTATGTTAGATTTAAACCTATGGATACCTTATACAGTTTGTCTTGAGAGCTATCACATGACATAAATGGTCCATCTATTTCTAGTTTCTGTGGACTTTCAGCAATAATGATGGGAATCCTATGTATTATAATGTTGCTACAGAGGTGCCAACTGAACACCAAAACAAGTAACACACCAAAATAATTTGATGTATGATATTCCTATGACAATTTCCTTGTTAGCCACTTACAGTTGTCAAACAATGATATCACTCCTAAAATCTACTTAAGACTTCTTGTAAAATGCTTTTTTTAATGTTTGCTTGATTCACATGTTCTCAGGCCTTTTGGACATCTGTGAAAAGCTGCAGCCATGTGTGAATGGTGGAGAGTGTCTCCAGGTGCAGAAGCTGGACAGTGACCACCAGCGTGTCCGGGGCTACAAGTGTGACTGCCACGGCACAGGCTTCTACGGACACCATTGTGAACACAGTGAGTATATATAACTTCACACTTGTTGTCCTTGTCATGATAGTCTGGAACTTCCATTAATCCTGATCCTGTTAGTGTGGAAATCCCATTAGTCCTTGCCATGATTATCTGGAACTCCCATTAATCCTGATCCCATCAGTGGAGAAAACCCCATCAGTCCCGGCCACGTTAGTGTGGAAACCCCATCAGTCCCGGCCATCATAGTGTGGAAACCCCATCAGTCCCGGCCATATTAGTGTGGAAGCTCCATCAGTCTTGTCCCTGTTAGTGTGTAAAACCCCATTAGTCCCGGCCATGTTAGTGTGTAAACCCCATCAGACCCGGCCATGTTAGTATGGAAACCCCATTAGTCCTGTCCCTGTTAGTGTGGAAACCCCATTAGTCCTGGCCATATTAGTGTGGAAACCCCATCAGTCCCAGCCATGTTACTGTGGAAACCCCATCAGTCCTGGCCATATTAGTGTAGAAACCCCATCAGTCCCGGACATATTAGTATGGAAACCCCATCAGTCCCAGCAATGTTAGTGTGGAAACCCTATCAGTCCCAGCCATGTTAGTGTGGAAACCCTATCAGTCCCAGCCATGATAGTGTGGAAACCCCATCAGTCCCAGCCATGTTAGTGTGGAAACCCCATCAGTCCCAGCAATGTTAGTGTGGAAACCCCATCAGTCCCAGCCATGTTAGTGTGGAAACCCCATCAGTCCCAGCCATGTTAGTGTGGAAACCCCATCAGTCCTGGCCATGTTAGTGTGGAAACCCCATTAGTCCCGCCATGTTAGTGTGGAAACCCCATCAGTCCCAGCCATGTTAGTGTGGAAACCCCATCAGTCCCAGCCATGATGAAACCCCATTAGTCCCAGCCATGATAGTGGAAACCCCATCAGTCCCAGCCATGTGTGGAAACCCCATTAGTCCTGGCCATGTTAGTGTGGAAACCCCATCAGTCCATGTTAGTGTGGAAACCCCATCAGTCCCAGCCATGTGTGGAAACCCCATTAGTGTGGTCCCAGCATTAGTCCTGTGCCATGATAGTGTGAAACCCCATTAGTCCCATAGTGTGTGTCCTGGCCATGATAGTGTGGAAACCCCATCAGTCCCCCATCAGTCCCAGCCACCCCATCAGTGTGGCCAGTGTGTGGAAACCCCATCAGTCCCGGCCATGTTAGTGTGGAAACCCCATCAGTGCCATGATAGTGTGGAAACCCCATCAGTCCCAGCATGGAAACCCCATTAGTGTGTTAATGTGGAAACCCCAGTCCATGTTAGTGTGGAAACCCCATCAGTCCCAGCCATGTTAGTGTGGAAACCCATCAGTCCCTGGCCAGTAGTGTGGAAACCCCATCAGTCCTGGCCATGTTAGTGTGGAAACCCCATCAGTCCATGTTAGTGTGGAAACCCCCAGTCCTGGCCATGTTAGTGTGGGAAATCACCAGCCATGATGGTGTGGAAACCCCATCAGTCCCAGCCATGATAGTGTGGAAACCCCATCAGTCCCAGCCATGTTAGTGTGGAAACCCCATCAGTCCCAGCCAGTCCTGGCCATGACCATAGTGTGGAAACCCCATCAGTCCTGGCCATGTTAGTGTGGAAACCCCCATAGTGTGGAAACCCCCCCATGGCCATAGAAACCCCATCAGTCCCTGGCCATGTTAGTGTGGAAACCCCATCAGTCCCAGCCATGATAGTGTGGAAACCCCATCAGTCCCAGCCATGTTAGTGTGGAAACCCCATCAGTCCCGGCCATGATAGTGTGGAAACCCCATCAGTCCTGGCCATGTTAGTGTGGAAACCCCATCAGTCCCAGCCATGATAGTGTGGAAACCCCATCAGTCCCAGCCATGATAGTGTGGAAACCCCATCAGTCCCAGCCATGTTAGTGTGGAAACCCCATCAGTCCCAGGCATGTTAGTGTAGGATACCCCATCAGTCCCAGCCATGATAGTGTGGAAACCCCATCAGTCCCTGCTGTAATAGAGCATAATCTCCATTTGCCATGGTTCTGCCAATAGAGATTCCCAGTTCGCTCTTAACCCAATTAGCATGATTAGTACCTAGTCCCTAAGATGGAAACCCTTCAGTTCAACCCTAGTAAATGAAGAAATCCCACCTTCCTGACAATGACTGTTTGACAGGTATACAAGCGAGTGTTCTTCGTCATATGAGCGAAATATTCTCAAGCACGATGTTAAATCCAATTTCACCTCACCTCACCCCAATTCTATTTCACCATGATGGTAGACTGAAAAGAGGCTATTCACTGATATACCATAATCAGGCTGTGTTTGGAAACCTAATAAAAAATAGGCCCCATCACTCTGCCATACTCCGAATCCTACAACACAGAAATGTGCATCCACCATGCACGTATGTATAGAATAGATGCAGGAAATATACTTATTGTATCCTAAGGGATGCTCATTAATGCTCACGGTACTGAATTCTTAACAAGAAATATGAACTTCCTGTATGTAGAGTAATTATGAAGTCTAACAGTTCAATACACCATTTGGGGTGGTGGGGTAGCCTAGTGGTTAAAGCGTTGGCTCGTCACGCCGAAGACCCGGGTTCAATTCCCCACATGGGCACAATGTGTTAAGCCCATTTCTGGTGTCCCCCGTCGTGATATTGCTGGAATATTGCTAAAAGCGGCGTAAAACTAAACTCAGTCAGTCAGTCAATACACCATTTGATTACTTTTCAAGATCCTCATATATCCTGTGATCACTTGTGTAATTATGGGTCCTGTAGAGTACATACCTCTGTACTGGAGGGTATTGTCATGGTCCTTGTATGTCAGTCATATCAGACACAACATAAACAGGTTGTTTCATTTGTCATTATTTATCATGTTTCACATTGTTTTGTTAGATACATGCTGGCTGGTTTATAATCATTTATGTTTTAGTGTGAAGTAATTGTCCATATACTAATGAGTGTTAGTGAGTGAGTTTAGTTTTTGTTTTAGCAATATTACAGCAATATCATGGTGGGGACACCAGAAATGGGCTTCACACATTGTACCCATGTGGGGAATCGAATCCGGGTTTTTGGCATGACAAGTGAAAGCTGTAACCACTAGGCTACCCCCTTATGCCTTATACTAATGACAATGCATCACTGACATATCAAATTTATATACTGATTGTGTACAGAAAACATCTCAGGTGTATTTTCAAAACATTTCAGTTATATCAACATTAGTACCTTTCAATTTTTGAAAACAAATTAAGTGTATGGTTTTAATGAAGAATTGTATTTCCAGGGCAACTATTATGGCAAATATAGTATTATTTTGTATGAACATGCATTTTAATAACTGTTCATCAATTTCAGAATGTCACAAACATCCCTCAAGTGACAACCCTCTCACTGAAGCCTGTCTCTTCTGAGGTGACCTCATTCTGATGCGGAGCCTACCACACCAGTGCCAACTACATGTATACAGTTACCATGGTAACACTCATCCATTCTGTAACTAAGGAAACTAGTGTGTTATAAGAATTACAGTTCCAGAAACCATAAATCTACTGAAATTGAGATTAGTTTGAGAAACTATGTAATTATTTCATGTAGTCAGAATGTGTACATGATTCCACTTGAAAAGAATTCTTCCAAGATTTGTGTGATTATTTTAGGTCCCAGTGACCTGAGAATATTTTGTGATACCAAAAAATATGTTGCTGATGGTATGTAATTACTGATATATGATCAATAAGGAGTATGTTCTCTGTACAATGTAATCCCATTCTGGTGCTAATGACATGTATGTGGTACTGTTGATAATGCAGATCTAATGGAGAAAACACACTGCCTTACAAACTGGTATGTTAAGTTTACTTGTAAGTAATACAGAAATATTGAACTTGTGTTAATAACCAACAATCTGTTCATATTAGATTGTCATCCACTTTTGTCCAAAACATGGGTGATGGGCATTACATTTTTATATCTGATTTTGGTGCTAAACAAACTGTTTAAGGCATCTGTGTTCATCTGTCAACTGATCCCTGTGAAGGTTGTGCATGGTAAACATTTGTACTTATGGACAGTGAGAATCTCGTTAATCCATTCATGCGCATCACTAATTATGACAAGGTATTTGGCTACCTTAACAGAATCATAGTGTATTTTATCAAGGATGGTAAACGGAAATAGGATTTTCTCTTATTGTACTTGGGAACCCTAAATAGATAAGCAGCAGCTTGTTGTTAGTGAAGCTTTCAGGTCTAAAATATATTGAGCAAAGTATGGCTTTACATTATTATATTTAGATGGCAAATCTCTTCATTCTGGTGATGATCGGAAGTCCTGTTATATGTTATTACACTATGTTGTTATATTGTTGTATTGTACTGGTTCGTATTACATCTCCAGCTGTTAGTGCTATTGCATGTACTCAAATGTATACATTCAGCTTGTATTGGATGCATTTGTGACTCTATATTCAACATGGTAAAGGTCAAGGGTGCTTTTAAGGATGCAATGTATGAGCGTTTATGTATGACTACCAATTCCATTGGTCTGAAGTAAATTGACTTATTTAGGATTTTTATAAAATACAAATATGTGGATATGGTTTGTATAGGAGCACCTGACAAAAAGCATGCTCATTGGTCAGGTGTGTTTTAGTATTTTTATGAAAAAAGTTATTGTCAGTGCAAATCATTTACTGAAATGTAACCTGAACATTGAATAGTAGCGTGGCAATATGTTTCCAATGTCCAACTTTATATTCATTTCAAATGAGAAAGCTTTTGGTTCATTATGTCAGAGTTGTATTATCTGACATATTAAATCAAAGTTAGTTTTAGTTATTTCCATAAAAATTATTTTTGCAATCTTAACATTTTCCTGTTATGTGATACCCAAATTATTTAATTTGTTAACTATATCTTGTTTCAACCAGACAGGGCCAAAGAATACTTATTCCATTCCACACTGTTGACAAACTCAGGATGTAAGAATGTGATTGTCACTGGGACCATTGTGTACCAGTATCAGGATTAGGATTACCTGTACCTTTCAACACTTCATATGTAGGAACTAAATAGTTTTCAATATGCCCCTTATTTGAATTCCTTGCATTTTTGCTATTAACCAATTATTCCATTGTAGAGATCTGTTTGACATGTTTGGTTAAGGCTTGGCCACGGATTGTGTACCTTGGTATTTTCTTACAGTAAGCAACATGTTGTACCTGGTCATTGAACTGCTTCCCCATTACTATCCATGTTCCAGTGATCACTTATTATATGCATAACTACAGTTTACAGCTTCATATCAATCTAAAACAAAATGGTGCTCTATTCTGCACTGCCCTCACAAGCTATGTCAGACAGCAGATGACAGAATTTCATGAAACTTTTATACTACCTTGTTCCCAAAAGCTTACCTTTACATGTCTCTTCAGCCAAATGTGTTTAGAAAGGTAAACATAATAGTTACATATTAGAAGCAGTGGATGTTAGATAGTCAAATGAAGCAGTTCGCAACAATAATTATGCTACTATCTTTTTCACCTCACCACAATCGTTTACTAATGTTCGAAAATGAGAAGATTCTTGAGTTTTATATAATATGAAGTAGTATATGAATTGAGGCCCCCAGGTCTGTCACATTAATTAGGTCAAGGACACAATGACTTTCATGCTTATTATTAATCACTTCCTCTTTATCTGACATCTGTGTATATGATGATGATGATGATGATGATGATGATGATGATGATGGAGGTGTTGATAGTGTTGATGCAACAGACATAAGCCAGTTTTTGTGAAAAGGTGTCTTCTGGCATTATCTCTGTGGGAAGTTTGAACATACACGTGTATTTCAAGCTCACACAATATACCTGAGCTGGATGGTATAAAGTCGAGTACCTGCTAATGTATTTGGTCCTGTCAACCCAACAGTGTTTAATAAATGTTGTGAAATATTTTTAGAATACAAGTTAGTGCATTTACAACACCAAATAACATTATTGTTAGTTATACATTGGAGGTAGTTTACGGGTTTAGATGCCTTTTTATGCTGTCAATAACCCATTTTTGTGTTTGTACGCATGTTTTATATCCTATATTGTACCTAGTGGCGTAGTGTGTTTACCACTGGCTGTGGTTCATAGGTGATCAACCTTTTGTTGTTATCAAGTTATTTGTATGTCTTTATTATTATTCCATCTTAACAATGTATGTTATGATTTTTGTATTTATTAAGTAATAAACATTTTGTATTTGTATTGTCTATTCTTTAGCATCAAAGCAAAACAAAACATTGAGATCTCAGTATTATTTACAAAACACAAGTTCAGGTACCCAAGCGAGCAGAGTTGTTCCCCCTGGATGTTAAAATTTTACGTCACAAGGGCAATATCTCAGCCATAACATGACAAAGGCTGTGCCAAGGATCATAATAGAGCAATTCATACTGGCAGAGCCCTTAAAGAAACAAAGGGGCTGCTGTACAACAAGCTGGCAGTGTTTAGTAATAATTGTGAAAGATGATAATGCTTTTTTGATAGCATTCCAAAACTGGCCATGCTTGTGTGTTTTGGGGAGGTTTAATATTCAGTATTAAGAATAAACTTGATGTACTTTATAGCATGCCTTAACATGCATAGTTTCTATTCTTAATACAATTACTATGTATAAAATAATGAACAAAAGAAGGCAAACAAACAGGCCACATCATAAGGTCAAAAAATATAAAAACAAGCTGAACATTTTAAATGAATTTATGTATGAATACAAATGCACAGTATTACAAACTGAAGCAACAAAAATGTCATCTCAGTAAAGGAAAAATTTACAATGTTTTAAGAGTGAGACATATCGCAGATCTACATATATATCACAACAGGCTTTGTATATTGGCTCAGATATTTCATGGAAGACCGGACATAGAAGGTTATAACACCAGACTTGGCAAGACTGCAAGCTCTAGGCCAACAATGTATAAGATCAAAACTTATCAGACTAAAAGCAGATCATAAAAGTGAATTTCAACTGAAGTAAGATCTTCAATAGCATAAATAAACAAGGAAGGAATATCCCTTTCAATCTCTAAAATAGACAAGTACCTACATACAAGAGAATAAGTAGACTGAGCGAGTGAGGAGGGTTTGAGGCCACTTTGAACAGTAGTCCAGTTGTAACATAATGGAGGAACTCCCAAGGTGATGCACGTCTTACATGCTCACCAGGTTGATTAAACCCATGGGTACCATGCTGACAAACCTAGAAGCATAATCTGGGCCACCAGGATTCGAACCCAGGATCATAGGCTTCTGGCCTATGCAACTCTGCACTGAACTGCAACACCTTTGACAACTGGGCCACCCATGCCCCATACAAATGTGGACTCAAGCACCACCATAAAGATTGTCACAATGTAGCTATGATGCCATTTATAATGTATTAATCCTTGATACTATAGATACTACAGATCAAGGTCCTGTATATACTGTTATATGTACAACATAGTTCTTTGTATCGGAATGATACATAGTGCATTGAGCAATATCGACACAATAATGAAGAACAGTACCATACAGGTATAACAGGGAAAATAGTTCACTGTTTTTCTGGACAAAAATATTATACAGTGATCCCAAATATACTCATATACACCTTGAATAATGCAACAGTTTATCAATGATAATCTCGGAACTTGTCAAAACAAATGAAATGTGATATCAGTGCTCCACAGATTTATTACTCTCCTGTGGAAGATACTGCAGTGTAATGTTTTTACGTCAATATTACACTAGTGTAATACCGCTAGACATGTGATGTCATAATGGTTTACAGTTATGACGTCACAATGCTAATACCTCTGTCACAATGGTATTAGACCTTGCTTGACTCGCGGAAAGCTGAGAGTCATCACACTTCGTAGGTAGTTTCTATCAATTTATGTTGGAGAGTAATAAACAGAATACTAAACTCGCTTCCGTGAAATACCATTTTTATTAATATCGTGAAAGATTTAGCATCAAACTCGCTTTCGCTCTTTTGATACCAAATCATTAACTCGTGTAAAAAAAATGGTATTACACGTAAGGTCGTTTTGTATCCTCCATATATCGCATACATCTCATCTGAGTTCAGTAGGCAATGCATGACAACTGTTGCTCATTATAGGTCAACATCATCACAACCATTATAGCAAACATCAACATTTGCAATACATTCATGGGCCTAACAGGCGACCATTTGGGCTGTTTATAGGGCTTCAGAACCTATTTTCTGATCCTTATATCTGAACGTAACCATCAATTTAATAATCAAGCAAAGAAAAGAAGATTACTTATAACTGTAGTTTGAAATTTCTTGATTCTAGGAGATATTTCTGCCTTGGGGCAAATATTTTTCTGAAATTAAACAAAAAAGATTTACTTTTGACAAATAAATTTTGGCTAAGTCTGTGTTACAATTAGGTGAAACTAAAAAAAAATACCCAAGATTGTATCAATGCTGTTAAAAGAAACAGTAAATAATATGTATAAAAATACAAAATAGTAATTATAAGTGTATATCAGTCAACCTCTCATGTGCATTGTTCTATCAAGGCACACAATCACAGTAAAAACGGTTGTATTGAAATACCAAAAGGAAACGATGAGTGTTTCGGTGATACTGGGAGAGGAAAAAGCTTGAAGCAAATCCAGACAGATTAATCCAGTCTGCAGTGGCAGCAAATAAGAAAGACTGGTGGCCATATTCTGATACAAATGTGAAAACCTCTTTGATTTTCTTTTCAGCAGCACTGTTTAGTAGCAGTGTTAATCTGGAAGTTCAAGACCACATACACTGAATTGTTGGTCAAATATTTTGTAAAGCAACATGTTTTAAGAGACATTATCTTGTTTCTCATCTCTCCATTTGGTAAGTTTAAAAAGGAAAACCATTTGAAAACTTGTTACTACTAATTGTCATCTTTCATTCAGGATGTAAACTTCTACATGTCTGTAAAGAGATCACTCAATATATTTTAGAAGAAACATGTTCTAAAAGCAATTTATCTTAAACACCCAAACACCAGTTTTGAGATTTAAATATGTAAACCCAGAAAATAAACGATATAATTACTTATACTGATGTCTTAATTGTTTTACAATAAACTATTCTGTCCTTTTCTGTCAACAGAGACACCAGATCATTTGATCATTCATGCAAAACTCAGATACAGAGCACATAAAATACTACTACACTGCAGTATCATTAAAACATTACACTATATAGCTACTACTACTGCACATCACACTGTCCAAGAATGATAATTCCGGAGCAAATACAACATTTGGGAATTAAATCCACTGCTAAGCAGACATAAAAATCTTCATTTACATAATCCAAAAGGATAAAATATTTGGCAACAAATACTTTTTTAAATACTTCATTGGATTTTGCCGCACATTGGTATTTATATTTCTTCATATTCTGATTTTTACAGCATGTAAATAGACAACATGCTGATCCCAGCTGGTAGGTAGATGATTTCACATGGAGTAAAGGAACATCCCATTTATACAAGCGGACCTCCGACTGCCTGGAGCCTCTCAATGCAACCACTAGTCGATTTCGGGATATAACCACATTGGTTGGTTTCACGTCGACACCAACTTCAAAAGTGCGTCGAACCGGGACATGCGAGAAAATCCCCCTCCGCTGTGAAAACTTGAACTCTGTAGTTGTTGGCATCGGCAACGTAAATGTTGTCGCATTGGTCAACACACAGCCCCATTGGATAAAATAACTGACCATACACATGACCCTGTGACCCCATCTGACGAATAAACTGACCATTCATTTCATGAATCTTGATTCTGTGATTACCAGTGTCAGACACAACTATTTCATTTCTGTGGTTAACTGTGACATATGAAGGTTGAATAAAATGGTTGTGGCCGGAACCTTTGGAGCCGAAGTTGGTACAGGGCTTCTTTTTGATCTGTAAGAACATGCACAGTGTTCTTTTCAAGACTGGTCACTACAACCCTCTGAGTGATGTCCAGTGAAATTCCACATGGATTATCGTACTTGTAGAAACTTCCAAATGCTGATATCAATTGTCCATCCATAGCATACTCCCTAAGTAAAGCTGGTCCAGAACGGCTGACAGATAAAAGCAGAGTGTTAAAACTTGTAACACACACATCTCGAATTGAGCAGTCAGTATAGAAACTGGAGAGGAAATCGCCTCTGACGTTGAATATTGCAACCTTGTTTAAGCTGCAATCCGTGACGATGATGTTGTCGTTCAAAGGATTCACGGCCAGTCCTGAAACGTGCGTAAAATCCTCCGGGCCGGTGCCGTGGCCAGCAAATTTGTTTATAAACACTGCCACTGACTGAATGTTGTTGACAACAAACACGTCACTGGTCTCCCAGTCAAACGCCTTGTCTCCGTACAGAGTCTGGTATGTCGGGGGTTGATCGACGGGAAGTGTTGCCATCTCTCCACTATTGTACGGCACTGACGCAGCTTCTCGAAGATGAAGAATTATATCATTGTCTGGGAAACTCCACACGCCCCCAGATGGGACATAGATGGTCTGTCGACAAACTGGACATGGAAAACGCCCGCCGTTGCCGTTCCTGGCAACGTGGTTTTCGAGGCAATCGTGACAAAACGTGTGGAGACATGGTATAGCTTTGGGGCGTTCGAAAACGTTTTTACATATCGGACAGCGGAAATGAGATTCTATGTGGTGTTGTTCCGCCATCTTGTCAAATGTCACATGACCTTCTATCATGTGACGCACTTATGATCATGTGACGATGGCAAGGGAAAGGGGGCGGGGTGGTTCAGAGTCGGCAGAAGAAATATTTCAAATGGAAACATTCTTTGTAGTGCTTTATCGGAATAGGGTGACTGCAAATAAACATATATTTGTGTGAATATAACATGGCAAGTGTCAATCAATGTGTGAACCCTGCATGGTGTCGATGTTGATTCACTCAAACTTTCAAAGGTCACACCTCCAACAATACATCAGATGCGACACAGTGTACGTCGGGATCACGTCCCAAAGGTCATAGACAGCTAAGGAGAATACAGGACTGGTTATTGATATGGCTGCATCATCTCTATTTCACAAAAAGAAACCTGATTGGTCAACAACAGCAGAATAGTATGTGTACAATGTATACAAATACTGCGTGTCTGGAAAACAGATGACAGTCGTGCGCGCGCGTGAGAGAGAGAGAGAGAGCGTGCGTCCGTGCACACGTATGCACACTGGTTAATAGAGCTAGTGATGCCCAAGTCAAATGAAATGTCGTATCTTTTTTCATAAATTGTATCCAGACTGTGTTCAAATTATCCTAATTGCTGTTCGCACCGTTGACCAAGTTAACTGGAGTTAGCAGCCCCCAACTGATGTCATCAGTGACGAAATTAATTTTATTATAGATTCACGTATGTGTGGATACTGCCTAAAATCACTGTAAACCGCTATCCGTACAATATGTGAAGTCCATTTCTGGTATCCGTGATATTACTCTAATATTGCTCAAAGCGGCGTAAATTAAACTCACTCAATCACCGCCTAAAAGGAAGATCCCACATTGTATAGTTCCTATAAGGTGTCGCCCGTTTTCTCAAAGACAGGTTATTCGGTGCTTATCAGTCATTAAGTTCACAAGAAAGTTTTAAGGAAACAAACTGAACATATGCAGCATTTGCTGTAATTTGTTTCAACATTAAAGTATATTTGTATCGTCGACCACTTTCAGCTTATTGTTGAAGCTTCATGGATAATACATGAATAGTCTAAGCTATATTTATTTCACAATCAATACGTCTGACTGAAAATTGGTGAAATACATTAGCTTTACCCAGCTAAGTTTATAGGGAGAAAGAAGTTACAACTGTATTACAAGACGAGCAAAACTGTTAAGGGGAGACGACTCGTGCAGCGTTGTGTGTTGCTTGAAGATGCACTTGTCGAACCTTTGATATGCACACCCAACATGTCAGATGAGGCACACATCGATTCTCTTAACACCCACTTGTTACGGGATTTGGTTACCAGATTATCATTCTAACTATCACATCAATTATGGATGGTTTGATTATCGCTATTACTACAACTATTGCTGTTGCTGTAGCTGTTGCTGCTGCTGCTGCTTCTAATACAACAAATCATCAGACATATTTATTTGTATATGTGGCCCTGAGGCCAATAGTACATGTGTACAATAATAACAGTGCATTTATGCGCAACCTGTAAATACGCGAGTTACAGGAACATCAATAAATCCATAAACACCCATTTACAATTTACATTTTTCTCTCAACATAAGTATGCGGTACAACACAAGGGCTACCCTAAACAACAAGTCAATATTTTCTGTGCGAAGTAGCATACAGAATTTTTGTCTAGACGGTTGGTTATAGAAAAAATAAGGCAAATATCTTTCTCTTATTTCTAAATATTTCGGGCATATAAGTAATACATGGTACTCATCTTGCGATAAATTGCAGAATGGACACTGGATATCTATTGCATTTGAAGTTTTGGCAAATCGCGCCGCTTGGATTTTGAAGTTGTAAGCGTTACATCTAAATTTAGTAAGCGTACGCTTAAGTTGTGGTGATTTAATCTTTGAAAGGTAAATTTCTGTATTGATACAATATTTATATTCTGAATAAAAGTTGGCACAGGTTGATGACGTTATTTCATTATACCAGTCCTGTTGATAAATGTTACGTGTATTGGCAGTACCAAATGGTGCGGTGGTACAAATTCAATGATAGCACAAGTACAATGACAGTATACTATGAAATGATCAAAGGTAAACGTCAAGCAACTATGTTTAAACCTCCGATACAGGTTGGTTGGTTGGTTGGTTGTTCAACGCCGCACTCAGTAACATTCCAGTAAATAATCGAGTCTGGACCAGACAATCCAGTGATCAACAGCATGAGCATCGAACTGCGCAATTGGGAACCGATGACATGTGTCAAGCCAGTCAGCGAGCCTGACCACCCGATCCCGATAGTCGTCTCTTACGACAAGTATGGGTTACTGAAGACCAATCTAACCCTGATCTTCACGGGTACTCCGATACAGAACTAGGCTGGAAACAGGATGGTGAAAATAACGATCTTCACAGACTGCTGGGACTAACGTTGATGTGTAAACATGGGGCACGCGCCTCCCTCCTTACAGATATGAAAAAAATTAAGCTTCCAGAATTATCATCACTATAAAGCTGGAATGATATTTGATGCCCAAGAGCCTCCAGATTATACATGCCTCCCAATTCAGTATTACACTGCCACATTACACCAGCGCTGCTGTTGTTGCTGATGCTGCTGCCAGGATGATCCAGGCGAGCCCCTACTAAGCATGGTTTAACGATAGTAAGCCTAAGCTGTCGAATATTGGCTTATCATGCTGTAGTTGATATTAGTTGCCCTCACAAACGGACCCCTGGGAGCGGTACTCAGATTAACGGTCACATCAGGAAAACAGAATAGTTTCATTTATCGATTCGGTTATGAATACAAGCTTTTAATGAATTATATTTCCTTGTAACTTTGGACTGATGGTACATGTTTATCCTGATACGCGTCATGGAGTGAGTGAGTGAGTTTAGTTTTACGCCGCACTCAGCAATATTCCAGCTATATGGGGGCGGTCTGTAAATAATCGAGTCTGGACCAGACAATCCAGTGATCAACAGCATGAGCATCGTACTGCGCAATTGGGAACCGATGACATGTGTCAACCAAGTCAGCGAGCCTGACCACCGGATCCCGTTAGTCGCCTCTTACGACAAGCATATTCGCCTTTTGTGGCAGTCATGGAGGGATAACTTCAGATTGTTGTTATAAATACTTCAATAATCAATAATGCCACCGTGATAATTTTGCAAGTTATGATGTTATAAGCGGTAATTTGAAGTTTGAAATTTGAACTAGGAAATATGGATAATTGTAGCTTCCATAACAATACACATTTAAAACTTTTTAACCTCTCATAGTTGCGTCATAGCACGTGGCTGTTGTGTCTCTACATCCCCGTGCAGCATCATTACATCTTTGGTTGCATATTATGCGTTGTATTTCGGGTACTGCCTACGTTATCCTTGGTTAACACCGGCTGCCCAGGTTGATTCTAGGCAACACCGGCTGCCCAGGTTGATTCTAGGCAACACCGGCTGCCCAGGTTGATTCTAGGCAACACCGGCTGCCCAGGTTGATTCTAGGCAACACTGGTTGCCCATGGAAATGTGGTAACCTAGGCTGACAGTTCGCACAAAATATACCAGTCGAACTCACGTTATGAATTCTGGTGATGCAATATTCTGTTCATTAGCCTCAGTTGACATCAATGTATGCATTTATTGGTTCAGTCATGAATACAAGCATTTTAATAAACATAATTAAGCACATATTGATAGCATATATGTATTCTGATATGTGTCTAGAAAATTTCCATTTCCATTGTTGATATAAATACTTCGGGACCAATGAAAGTTTTGTTATTGAGTCCGAGGAAACGGGTTAAAAAGCAGCTTGGTCCATCATCAGAACTAGTTTGTGTCGTCCCAGTGAGTTATGGCAATGCACAAGACTCTTGTTTCTCTTTCTCCTGGCAGGTTTGTTGTTTGATACGAAAGGTTGAACTTTGGGTTGAATGTGGTCAACCCTACTTGCAAGCTCGAGTTGCCTCAGGTCACTAAATTTTCAAAAATCGAACAGATGCAGCAATGTTAAAGATTTCAAAAATCGATTTGAATCGAACGCTGTACCAGCGGTTAGCTGTCTGAACTGCTTCGGATTCCAGGGTATACCACCTAGAAGCGGCAGTAAAATATCCCTGTGTTCACTGAATTAAAAGTGCCTCTGAGTTGCGCCATTTGTTAGATGGTGGTGGTTTGATGAGGCTCTGCAGCCATTGTAACTTTGTGGAGAAAAATTGTAACTCGAAAAAACAAAATCAATATAAAACAAAACATTAATTGCTAACTGACATGTAATTGTTGATGAAAATACCCCAAACAATTGCGTTTTTGTAGTTTCACTAAGCCCCTTGTCCATTTTGATATATTTTACATTGCCGTTTTGACTTTTACGTCGTTTGAAACAGACCTGACATTGTGTTGAGTAGAAATAAACTGTTCAGCATCTGATGTAAAGGTGTGATGTAAGGTTGGGTGTGTGACCTTTGAGTAAGTAATCACTGAACCAGTTTGTTAGATACAAATATTGTTTTAAATTTAGCAACGTACCAATATACTAGTATTAAATGTGTGAAATGTTTGAAGTTTACGTAGCGTAATTATACAGTAAAACGTGGGCAATATTCGGAAATGACTTACAATTTAAAAATGTTTGCAATATTGTGTGATAATGAAAAAGGTATTGAGAGCATATCACTGTCGGCAGTGAAGAGCCTATCACGACCCCGCCTATCAAGCAAGTGGAAGGAAAATCTAGGCTCATCTGACCACGTGACAGCGACGGTTACCCCCGTTGCGATGTGTACATCAATGACGTCTAGCAATATGACAGTTTGTAAGGGGGCACAACTGGTGGCCGCAGAGCGATAAGCAACATGTAGACGATTTCTAATCCTCTAATCCGTAACTCGTACACCTTTGCACTGAATAACGTTTTCAGCAATTTGATTCGTAATTTCAGCTCGATTTCGTGGTAGAGCCCGCTCTCGGATTAACCGATCCAGGGTCTAGATTTTCGAAGGTGTCTTAG